CTGTACAAATAAAAACACAGAAACAACCCCAAGCTTTAGATAGAAAACAACAGAACAATCCAACTGAAGAGATTAAACTGTACAATTCATAAAGTCATATATTCATCATCATTTCTTTCCCTTTCTGTCATCACTGTACACTTTCTCTTTTACAAATAAAAAACATCAAATCAAATATTTCTCATCGAGTAAGCATCACTCTCTTTCAGCTGATACATAAAATAGAGTCTCCGTTAGAATTTGCCTATTTACAGGGTTGCAGTATGTACACTTGTTTCATTATTCAGTGTTTTAATGCGGGCACAGCAGACAGCCTCGACCCAAGAGACCGTCCGCCTCCAAAAACGATGGATCTCAGCAGAATTACAGGCAGAAGCTGCGAAAGGTCCGAAATCTGGAAGGTTTGGTCGGTTTAGGTGATTTGAAACGTTAACGATAGGTTAGGATTAGAGACAGTTGGGATTCAAGACTTTTGTTTCTGCCCTAAACTACGGCGGGATCTAATAGTAAAGCGCCCATCACCCAGGAAGTGGTCCTGAGAGAGCCACCGGCAGACTAGTGCTGAGGTCATCTTCACTGGGTTTCACACGCCGACCAAACCAACACAAACTTCTCAACAAAATCTTCAACAGCAAATATATAGTCCTGAAAACGTATTCTACCTCAGACTCAGTAAGGGATTTTAAACAACGTTTTCATGTTCTACAAATAAATCACGCTTAGATGTTCAAACTCTTTCTCTCGAAAGTTTGTACTCGTCCTCTCCTTGGTTTGAACACATCTTCTAGAAAGTTGAAACGGGTGTCATTGAAAGTTCAAAATTGTGTACACAAAATCTGGTTCTCAAAATGTTGGTTTCCAAGGTGTATACTCGTCTTTATGAAAGTTTGAACGAGTGTTCTTGAAAGTTTTAACTTAAGAACACTTAAAGGTCGGGTAGGTAAGAATGGAGAAACCAGCTCGAGTGCGCTAGAATTTGAAAGTACACAACCGGAAAAGATCTGCCCCTTCCTTCAGACTTCCTCACAGAGCCCCTCCTCCAACACACACACGAACGCGCACATGACCAATGAGGGCACGAGGTAAGTTTGTGCACAGATGGAAGGCTGACAGGCAGGTAGGCCATCCAGTTACTTTAGCCGGGCCGCCGGCTCAGATGATTGGTCGTGCTTTTTACAGAACTACGGCTTCCAGAGATGAAATGTTTTTATTGTCGAAGCATTTATTGTATTCATTGCTATCGGGATGTTAAGAGCATTCCATGGAATATAACAAGTGTTTCTGAAGTGAATTACCTACCCCACCTTTAAGTCAAACTCTTGTACTCAAAAGGTAGAATGCATATTCTTGAAAGTTTGTTTTAGATTTGGCAAAGTTCAAACTCTTATCTTATTAAAAGTTTAAATTTGCATCCTTGAAATATTGTTAGTTTTATCAAAAGATTGAACTCCCGTTCTCTAAAGTCCAACTTGTCTTCTCGAATTTGTAACTATTGTTCCCGAATAATTGAAGACATGTTCTAGAAAGTTTTTGTTTTCAAAAATGTTTGCCGTTCCAACCAATTTGTGTACTGGGGAGTTTAAACTTGTTTCTTGCAAATTCTGGAATCGTTTTTAGGATTCTGATTTGAGTGAAAACTCCATATTAGCTATAAGATCTTGTCAAACTAGAGACATTCACAGATTTTGTTCCCGTTCAGAATCAAGCCGCCTCAGTTCACACATCATTACAAACAAATTGAAATGCTGTAAAATAGCGAGGAAAGAACTCAATAAATCAATGATTTTCATCTTAGTGTTACTCTTTATATAAATCATCTTGTTTTTCAAAATGGTCTCATTCTGTCCATACATTTCCCCAAACAACAAAAAATACTACTTAAATAAATTAGACTTTCATGATGCTGTTGGGTCTGAAAGCTGAACTGTTGGTCTTGTTCTGACGTGGACACGAGGCGGACTTGTCTCGTGAAGGGGTCGGCCTCGCTGAGCTTTCACAAACAGGATGTTATGGTACAGATGGAGAATGACAAAGCCTCACTGCCACCAGAGCGGAGCACAGAGAACACTTTTAAAACCATTTACACCTTTTCAGAAAATGTATACAAACACGTGCACCGTTCGGACACACTGAAGAGTTTCAGCCCAACCATAAAGCAAAAATATTGACTGGACGTCTTAATGAATATAGCTTAACTTATCCAACTGGAAATTCTTAAATAAAATTGAAATTGAAAGGAAGCTGGCCTACATATTTGTTGTGATAAAGGGTCAGTTCATGTTGGAAGTAAGAGTATAATATAATAATAATAATGTCTTCATATTCAAATTTTATCTCAAAATAATACAACTTTTAGTTTATTTCTAGAATGACAGACTTCAAATGTATGAATTAAACTTAACACATTATTTCTGTATTTAGTAAGTCTGATTTGTTATTATTTTTAACATTATTCATAATTCAAGTTTACTGTGTATGATATTATTTTTGTGGTATTGCTTGTTCTATCTATATAGTTAGAGAATCTGATGTACCAGAAATGTTTCAATAAGTTAAAACAAATTATCTCATTAGGAATTCTTTATAAAAATGACTTCATCATGACAAATTACTTTTTTAATCCTATAAAAGATTATTTCGCAATGAAATTCAACGTTTTCATGAAATATTACGCATGAATGTGCATATTATGCAATAATATTAGGCATATGATAAAATTACATTATGACTGTGTAATCATAAAATCGCAACATTCTATAAATGTACATCATCGCAAGGACTGTTTTCTGAAATATTATTATATTATCATTAAAAAAGTATGTTTTTGAGCAGCTGATTATTAGCAACATGATATATTAATATTTGTTTCTTAATATATAATATGTACAACATCTTAGAGGGAAACTCTTCAGTGCTTTGCAAATAATAACATCTTAACCAAAACAATGTGTCAGTGTTCAGGCTGGACTCAGACCAGAGGCCTGTACTACGAAGCAGGATTTTCGCTTAGCGGCTAACTTCAGGGAAAACTCTGGGTTTCCGGTCCTACGACGCTGGTTCTCTTTTTAGCGGGCTAGATCTCCATGGTAACTTATGCTGAACGGCTAGCCTGGTACGGAGCAGGTTAGGTTGCAGGCTAAGAGATCAACTCAGTGAAAGCACCGCCTGCTGACCAATCAGAGCTCAGTGTGCGGAGTTTAAAGCAATCAAGTCATATTACAGGAGAAAGGAAATACAGAAAAACTGCTGTAGCAGGAAAGACGGCCGGCAAAAATCAACTGACTGTGTGAACGTGAACATTAATAGAATATCACCTCCATCTTCAGAGCAATCTGACTATTATAACATTAGCGTTAAGAAAGCTTACTTAAATATCTGCCACAACATAAGTAACCGGATCAGAGTAACATTACGTAGCCTACAGTCCGCGGCACTGTGAGTGCAGACGTCGATGTGTCCCATTATCATATATTTCCTTATCTGAGTCAGCTGAGCCGTATCTGGCCGTGCAACGCTTACAGTGTCACATACTGTATGCAGAAGTATTATTTTAAGCAACACATTAAGTTGACGAAACACTACTCGAGTAAAATGTAATTAAAGTCAGATCGTGTCTTAGTGATATCATAAACCTGTTAATGTACGCATTCAAACACTTGTTCTTTTACCAGCTGTATTCACCTTGCAGGTGCAGCTATGTGGTTTTTATCCTGGATGAAGTGTTTAAGTCATGGATGTTTAAAGTCTTCATATTTGTCTAATATTAAAGTTCACTTTTCATTCAGGAAGTATGACGCTGCGCTGTCAGTACGCTTCTCCATGTTTCTGATTGGTCAAATGTTGCTAACACCGCCACTTTTATGTGAACGCGCACATGACTAGATAGGGCTAGAAAGCTTGCTTGAGTTAACGAGTTGATAACCAGCGTCATAGGACCGCTTAGCGAGAGCGCGTTTGTTTTGGATTCAGGTAAACCGGGTAACTCAAACATATCCAGGTTAGGTTGAACCGGCTTCGTCGTACAGGCCTCTGGTGGTGATCACAGCAGAAAAACAACAACTCTGTAGATTTCTATTATTATAGTATATATGACTGAAGTGCGATCAGCTGTAAAAACACGGAACCAATCGATCGTAACACAACTGGACTCAACTGAACTCTAATGAAAATCTAGCATAAAGAGTAAACAAAACCTCTCTGTGTCTCTGAGCCCTGAGGTTTGGCAAAGTGCTTTGTTGCTGCGATAGGTTGACCAACAAGCTCCACTTCCTGTTATTGCCAACAGAACGAACCAATGGCAGGGCAGTTTTGATCGAGTCCTTCCTTACAGCCGATTGGTCATTAAAATGTGACAGCAGTTAGATCCCAAACGCTGAGAATAAAAGGAAGAATAAAACAGTTTCTTCTGTCAACTCTTTCGTAGGTTTGTATTCATCTCCCTGGAGTAATTCTGTCCCGTAAACACAGCTGATTGGCTGCCTTGTGGTTATCAGTTCAATCCGCCCGTTAGCATTTTCAGTCACTTTATTAAAGGACCATAGCTGTTTCTTTTCCCAAAGGAGGTCATGTTTTCAGTTTGTCTTATCCAAAATACCAGATGGATATACTGCATACAATACACTTAACCAAGTTGTGTCCAAATAATTTGGGAAATTAATTGACTAAAGAACTACTTGAAGACTGATTTCGAAGTTTAGCCGCTCTGAGCAATAAAAAAAAAACACGTCTCCTCTAAAGGGTCCGTGTTGTTGTTTGTTATAAGGTAACGAACACACCAAAGTCGGAAAAAAGACTACCAAACTTGCGGAATAGGACCATCTTTAGGACAACTGAATGCACCATTGGCGCAGACCTATCAAGGGTGGTATTCTAGTTTAGCATGTTCTAGCTACTTTACCTAGAAAGTGTAATTCAATAGGTTTAATTATTATTAATTAAAAATAAAGTCCTTTAATTTGTTGATTAATTGTATCTTGTGGTGAACGTTGCCTATCGATTTCACTTCATTTCGCTGCGTCTGCCAAGACAAAACCTAATTCGTTTTTTTTACTTTGTTGTTCTGCGAATGTGTATGTTTTCTAGATACGCACGCTAAATGTTTATCCTCTTAATAGCTTAAGAACACATTTGTAGTAGTCTTATTCTGAAAAAACAGATGGTCATGTAACCTCTCTATTGGACAAAGTCTGTATATCTTTCTCTAGAAACTCATATTTTGACATCTTTTTAATTTGAATTATCGACTGATATGTTTGACGCTAGCGATATAAACTGATAAACCAGCCCTGCATGACAATTTTGTTAAAATAATAGCTGCTGCCGTCTCAAAGGAATTACACCATATTGGAAAAATAATCACTGAGTATTGCTTTGGCAGTGTGTACGTGATTTTTTGTCAAATGGTTCAAACATGTAGAAAAAAACAAACAGCGGTATGGTCCTTTAAAGCGAGTGTGACGTGAATGCTCCAACTGATTGGTTGTATCATCAAACACTGTAAAGTGACATTTCATGTGTGTCATCAAAGACCTGGAACAAAAAGCAGAAAAGAGCAAAGAGTTGACGTCTTCAGCATAACACTTAAGATCACGTTGGGTAGAAAACCAGCATCTACACACTCTCATCCAGCGAGGAAACATCCTGAACGTCCTCTGAGAAACGTCTCCTATCAAGGGATCCAAGTAAGTCTGAGAAATCACGGAGGAATCAAATAAAACAAACCCAGTTCCTGACAGCTCTGTGTGGGATATGGCAGCTGACAGGAACCACAGATCAGAGGTCAGCAATAACACAGATGTAGACCATGGATACAATCCATCGTAGCTGAGAGTTCAGTGCCAGATGCACAAGGTCCGTTGTGCCCTTTATTCAACATTAAAGAGTTTGTAAATTTGATGGAAAAATATAGTCAGACCTGAAATCCAGTTTTTCGGAGCGCAGAAGTCTTGCGCGTAAACTTGCGACGTTTGAAGTAGACTGATTCAATCAGCGATCAAACTGGTCTCTACGAAGGTTCAGAGGGACTAGAATGATTTAGTTTCTGTTTGTAACTGAAGAGATAAAGGCCCTATTTACACCTGGCCTTAGAAAGCGTCTGGCAGCTCTGATGAAGTTGTTCCCTGATTCGTCCTTGTTGAAGACTCATCAGAACGCTTTTACACTACGTAAGACATGTCAAACGACCCAATGGTTCTATTGATCCAATCTCCCAAAACACATTAAATCCAGGTGTAAACAGGTTCTTGGTGTCCTGCATCCTAAAATATCCTGAAGAACCAAACTTTCACAATTGCGCCATCTGTTGGATAAAGAATCGATCCGTCTGCATGATGTTCTGCAACATGGAGGTTTTTTTTCTTTTCCTGTGTGGATTATGGTTGTAAAAAAAAAATTCCAACATGCTTCCCAACACGTTGGATCAACAAGTCATCTGTTTGAAGTGCAGCGTCTTGTTGATGTTGGGTGGATGGTGCCAAAAACTACCCAATACAGCCTTAGTGTAGATCCGAGATGCATCCTTCCAAAAGTACCATATTGACATGAATAAAAGACGATAAAAACTGCCAAAGGCTGCGGACAAGTAGTACAAAAACCCTACCCTATCTGCTCTTCCTTAACCTTGATTGGAAACGGACATAGCAAAAGAAGATATCCCTCTGCACCCACACTAGGTTAAGTATTTACATCTCAGCGGATGTTAGTGATGAGCTTTGCGTTATGTGTTGCTGCTTCAAGGAACTGTGGAACGGCATTATCTTATTTCCTCTCCTAAAATATGGTCCTATGCTAAAAGAGATAAGAGAGCATTGAGGCAGCTTCCAATAGCACTCACAATTCCCCCAGATCTTATCATGGCTTCCATTAAGGTACTTGCGGGTCATTTCCAAAGATCTACAAAGAGAACTGGATACAGCGCTGGAGGCGGGACACTGTGAAATGTGGTTCCTCCTGAGGACAAAAAGAAACCTTCCTCAGCTAAAATGACTCTTAAGTTGCAGCCGTAACACATTGAGACTTTTCCAAGACTTGTTCTGAAAAAGACTGTTGACTTTTCCGTTTGTAAAGATAAAAAATCTCGCGTAGTTTGTCTTATTGTCTTATATTTGGGTCAAGCATCTTCAAATTCGAACTCTGACTGGATCATGAAATGAAAAAAATGTTTTGTGTATCCAGTTTTTGGTCCAGTTTGATAAACTGTCTTCATGTGGCTGATCAAGAACGAAGTATGACATTTTTTGTGATCCAGGTCGAAGAAGATGAAGAGAAGGATGTAGTGTGGTTCCAGTTTGAGTTTCCGTCTTTTCCTTATTTCTGACTCTGTTTACATCCGTTAGCTTTATTGTTTCCGGGCAGGAATTGCTGGAACAACAGCTTTCTCCTCCTCCTCTTATCTCCCCCGTCTTTTTCCCCCTCTATGTGTCTTTGGGCTCCAGTTTGCAGGACATGTCGAACAGGAGGTTCTGGTTGTCGATCACCTGCAGCTGCCGGACGTACGCTTTTGTCTGCAGGTGGGAGGGGGAGGTCTCTGTATCCATGGCTACCAGGTGATGCAGGAAGACACAGAGCACAGATACAGACAAAAACACAGAAGTTAGAAACACTTAATGAATTATTTATGTTACAGCATGAACAAAGTCCAACACGTGTGCTTAGGGAGTTTACTTTCCGTTTGAAATAAAAGTATTTGAAGTCAAACCAACTCATCTTTTGGGCGAGACTTTTTGGAACCATTCCTTCTATTTTAATTGTCCTCCATTTTATTTTAACATTGCATTATGGGAGAATAGTATCCATCAACAAACACAAAAATCTACTTTCGCTCACAGCATTTTTTATAATTAATTTGATTTAATTTGATATCATATCATTTGATTCTCTTTTGTTTAATAAATATCAGCTGTTTTACATAGAGTGAGTTACCTAGCTGGCTGCTCCGGTACCGCCTGATGATCCTCACCATCTCCGCCACTTTATGCTGCAGTAGAAGAGAAACAGAGAGATGGAAGAGGAGCGGAACCTTTCATTTCAAAACTGAGGTCTGACTTTACAAACTTAGACTCACTCAAAATAAAAAATTAAAATGTGGCGAATTCACAAATGTTCCAGTTTGTTTCCGATTTTGTGCAGATTAACATAGCACAACCTGTAATTACCACAACTACTTAAATAAAACGTAAAAAAATGGATTGAAATATAAATATGTTCACTGTATCAGTGTCTATTATGTGACATCTACGAATTTCTTCTCAATATTAATTGAAATTGAAATGAACTCACCATCTTCTCAAAGTTGACCAGTTCTCCGTGAAAGGATTTACAGCTCTCATGAAGAAACGTCAAGTCTGAGAAACAGGAAACAAAAAGCACTTCATTAATGAATCCAAGGTTAAGTGAAAACTAAAAACACCATCTAATTTCTGTTTATCGTAATTAAATCACTTTAGGGTTGTATTTTCTCAGATTCTGTCCTTGATTCAATTAATGACGAATGGAGTAAACTATCACAACATTTTTCAAGATGTAATCTGTGATTGTATTTTAGTATTTCTAATCTTTGTGTTTTTAATTCTTCCTTTTCGAAAAAGTATTTCAGTTTTTCACAAAGGAACTGTATTCTTAATTCATTTAATTTTCCATTAGTGAAAATATGATGATTGTGACATTTGGATATTTAAGATGTAAATCTTTTTTTTTTTTTTAAAGACCTTAAGCCAATCATTGGCAGTGTTGATTCTTATTGGATTTGAATGAAATGTGCATCAAAATGTTATTTTAAAAAATCAAATATGGAGGAAACAGATATGTATCAGTAATGTCAGCAGGTGGAGATTAGATGTCGCCCTCTGGTGGTGGTTTGCTTTCAAAGCCCGGGGCACTTCTTTGTATACGTATATATCTTAAAGAGCCATGAACGCAACGTCATTTTGATCCCTCTCAAACACGCGCACACACATCTTCTTTCTCCTTTGAACCATTTTAATCATGTCCATCCTTTCTTCCTTTCTCTTTTTCTGGTAACCAAGGTGACAGGGAGCTTAAGGCACACACAGTAAGAGGCTGTGTACAGTAATCCTATTTAAGGTCCTTTCAAACTGAACGAGTAAAAGCTGAGGAAAGACATGTGCAAGTTTTTTCATGTATCTGTGTACGGGTGTGTTTGTGCATGTGCTCCTTGTGTGTGTGTCGGTGTGTGCGTGTGTGTGTGTGTTGAATGAGTCGTAGTGAAAGAAGAGATGAAAAAAAAAAGTGGAGCAAAGAGGAGAAGCGAAGATAAAGAGGAGTGTTTGAAGTGTGTGTGTGTGTGTGTGTGTGTGTGTGTGTGTGTGTGTGTGTGTGTGTGTGTGTGTGTGTGTGTATAGCAGTTTAACGGTAACATTGGGCTGATTAGCCAGAAGACCTAATTAGCGAGGAGAGGAGTTTACATGCTAACGCGCTTCACATCTGCTCCACAGCTAGAGGACAAAACTAATTGTAAATAAATAATATATATATATATATTATTATTATTATTTATTATATAATGAACTGAGGAAACTCAGTTGTTGTTGTTGTTGTTGTTGTTGTGTGAGAGCATACAGCAGTATTTTCATTTTAAACTTAACTCTGATATAATGAGATGCTTTTATTTACTAAATCTTTCCTCCATACACTAACTTATGTTACTCACTCACTAACTTATGTTACTCACTCACTAACTTATGTTACTCACTCACTTATAGTAATCAGAGAGGTTTCAAGATTATAAAGATGTATTTTGTGCTTTCACTGTTTTGAGATATTTGAAGAAGATGTTTTAACTGTATTTTTGCGCTATATTTTCTAAATGTAAGCATTTACGTGATGTTTTGTACAATATTTCAATATCCAATTGTTTGTGTTTCCACTCAAAATATGTGTGATGTTTTAAGTTTTATTTCCTCTTGAGATTTGTTGCAATATTTAAATTCTGAATTTTCTGTGTTTTGCACAAATATTTTTGCGATATCTTTACTGATTTCTATTGTTTAAACATCATTTTGTTATATTTCCTGATATTCAAGCCATTTACAGTTAAAAGCTTTCCTAAATTAGATAATTTCTCGTGTTCCCACTTGAACTTCTTTGCAGAAACCCAGGTTTTAAAATGTTCACTCAAATGTCTTGACGCTATTGCAACCCAATGTTCCTGTTCCGAGGCATTTCATTGGTTTGATACTAAATGCTGTCTACATAAGCCCAGATGTGTTTAGTGCCGCCTCACCTTTGAGCAGCAGAGGAGTGAAGGGGATCAGAGGGGGTCTGAGGCTGGTGATCAGATCTCTGTAGGACTTGTGGTTCCTGGAGGGATCCTGTAATATCACAAGTGTTCAGGTACTTTACTGCAGTAGAATAACCCATACCCTTCAGGGGAAACACGCGGATACTAGTAGTTACATTTCTGGATTCAAAACATAAGCTAAATAAAATGAAGCACATTAAGGTGATTGAATGTCAGAAAGTAAAGAGCTGGTAGAGAGGGGTAAAAAGGTAGATTTTTGAGATTCAATTCGTAACGTCACGAAAGAAGACATACAGTATCTAGAAAAAATATTAATTGGAGAAAGATTCACTGAGAGTTTAATAACATGGTAAGCCCTTATAAATACTACTCTTTATTTATAAATATATATTATTATTTTTCTACTCACCGCTATGCTCTCAAACTGCTGAAACTGCTTCCTGAACTTCCCTGGGAGACCCTGAGAACACACACAAAAATCATGTTTGACAGTATAAGTGGCGAAGTCCATAGGGCCTTGGCTTGGCAACTGGAAGGTCACCAGTTCAAGACCAAGTGCTACCGAGGTGTCCCTGAGCAAGGCACCGCTCCCCGTACATAATGGCAGCCCACTGCTCCTAACACTAGAATGGGGAGAAACCATTTTGTTACATGGTACCTGTACTATGTAATGACAATAAAAGTGCAAACAAAAAGGTAATGATATATTTAAGGATACTTGTTTCAGGACTAAACTATAAGTCCAAATGGATCAAATAAACCTTGTCAGCAGTCTCCTCTTATTTAAAAACATTTCAATCTTAAATATAACAGCAGCAGAACACCTGCACCCTTTGTTTTCTGTGTCAGTTGGTGGATAATATAAACACAGCAGGTGTGTTTATGCGGCGTCAGGTGTGTGTGTCAGGTGTGTGTGTCATACCTCCCAGGTGAGTCTCAGTCGGCTGACAGCTGGATTATCCAAGCCCAGAACGACAGCGAGGAACGACAGCAGGTCCTGCTGCTGCTTACAACTGACACACACACACACACACACACACACACACACACACACACACACACACACACACACACACACACACACACACACACACACACAGGAAACACATAAGGAAATGACAACAAAATAAAATGTTGCAGTATATCTGTTCTAAGCTGTAAAGTTTTAGGATAAGTAGTATTGTTCAGAAATGTGCAAAACAGTTGGCTAAAATGAATAAGAATTCAAAAATGTTTTTAAATATAAATATACAGTGGAAGAAATAAGTATTTGATCCCCTGCAGATTTTGTAAGTTCACCCACTTACAAAGAAATGAACAGTCTATAATTTAAATGGTAGGTTTATTTGAACAGTGAGAGTAAGAATGTCAAAAAGAAAATCCAGAAATCTACATTATATAAAAGATAAAAATTGACTTGCATTTAACTGTGGGAAATAAGTATTCGATCCCCTTGCAACCAACAAGGATTCTGGCTTCCACAGTCCTTTAAAAAAGTACTCCTTATATCAACTTGTTACCTGTATAAAAGACACCTGTCCACAGAATCAGATTCCAACCTCTCCACCATGGGCAAGACTAAAGAGTGGTCTAAGGACCTCAGGGACAAGACTGTAGACCTGAACCAGGCTGGGATTGGCTACGAGGCCATCAGAAAGCAGCTCGGTGAGAAGGAGACAACTGTTGGTGCAATTATTCGGAAATAGAAGAAAGACTAAATGAGCATCAGTTGCCCTCGGGCTGGAGCTCCACACAAGATCTGGCCCCGTGGGGTCTTGGTGATGATGAGAAAGGTGAGGGATCAGCCAAGAACTACACGGAGGAACTTGTTAATGATCTCAAGGCAGCTGGGACCACAGTCACCAAGAAAACTATTGGTAACATGCCAAGGCAACACAGGAGCGGCTAAAGAAGAAGCACATTTAGGTGATGGAAGGGCCTAGCCAGTCTCCGGACCTTAGTGTTTCTCAAACCTTTTCATACCAAGGACCACTTAACCAATAAAAAAACACTCGCAGACCACCTATCTCCACAAATATCCAAAAACACATCGTTTTTTACAAATCGCCTGAAAATGGTACAAACAAGTGGCAACATCTGTGATGAAGGTGTTTATCTGGGCTATATCATGCAATCGAAAGTGAAACTCAAGCTCGCTCCATTGCGGAGATATTCCCGCGAGAGTGCGGAAAACTTAAATTTATTTATTTATTTCAAATGTGAAATTTTACCAATATACTCACGGACCACTAGGGGGCCCTCACGGACCACCAGTGGTCCGCGGACCACACTTTGAGAAGCACTGCCATAGAACATCTGTGGAAGGAGCTGAAGCTTCCAGAGGCCAAGCATCAGCCTCAACCTGAAGGATTTGGAGAGGACCTTCAGAGAGGAGTGGACCAACATCCTGAGATGAGCACAAACCTGGAGACCAACTACAAGAAGCGTCTGACCTCTGTGCGTCCAACAAGGGTTTCTCCACCGAGTACTAAGGCATGCTTTGAAAGGGGATCAAATACTTATTTCTCACAGTTTAATGCAAATCAATGTTTATCTTTTATATGATGTCAATTTCTGGATTTACTCTCACTGTTTATATAAACCTACCATTAGAATTACAGACTGTTCATTTATTTGTAAGTGGGTAAACTGACAAAATCCGCAGGGGATCAAATACTTATTTCCTCCACTGTATGTTTGTATTTATTCATTAAAGGCTCTCACGTTGGTTAAGCGCTGTCATTAATAACAATGAAATGAATAAAAACAATAAAGAAAAGCACATAAATGCACTAAACTATTTAAACGATATCAAACTCTGTGTAAACGCTGACTCACAGCGCTGCGATCTTGATGAACTTGCGGAGCAGCTGGACCCTCTTGGGCAGCGACTGGCACTGCAGGATCTCTGTGGCCACCCAGTGCTGCACCTCGCTGCAGCGCTGCAGAACCAGCTCCAGGTTCAGGGGGCGCCAGCGAGACTGCTCCCCGTGAAACACATAACACACAAACTCCACCTGCAGGACACACCAACGAAGAAGAAGACAAATGGAGCTGTTAACGATGAATTTGCTCGAGAAACGTATGGACGCACAGAGAAACGTTAAGCCGCAAAACATTTACAGTTACGGAGTCGCAGAGAAATGAACGGTCTCAAAGAGAACCTTTCCAAGTCACAAAGTAACTTTCAGAGTCCCAGAAAAGCTTACATTCAATACATACAAATATTTACAGAGTAATAAACAAATTGACGACGTCGCAAAGAAATGTACGACGTCATGGAGAATCAACAAAGAGTCAAGAAATAAATGACAGAGTATGGGAAAAACTTACGGAGTCCCAGAGAAATGTAAAAGTCACAAAGTAATTCATGGAGTCATAGAGAAATGTATTGCAAAGTAATTAAAAGTCACAGATTTATTTTTGCCCTTACAAATAATTGTATGGAGTCAATAGACAAATAGAGTCATGTAATTAAAAACTTGAGTCACAGATAAATGTAAGGAGTGGGAAAGTAATGCACGGAGTCACAGTTTAACGAACGGAACCACTAAGTCATTTATAGTCACAGTATGACTTTGTATTAGCAAAGCAATCTACAGAGTCACAGAGAAACTTAAAGAGTCGTAAAGTCATTTGCAGAATTAGTTTAAAGCACAAAGTTGCAGAGTCATGATTGGATTCACAGAGTAACGTATGGAGTCACAAAGTCATTCACAGGCTCAGAGAGAAATATATGGGGACACAGTTGTAATGTACAAGGTCGCAACGTTATTTAGGGTGACCTAGTAATGTACGGAGTCTCAAAGAAAAAGAAAGAGAATCTTATGGAGGTTTAGAGTCATATCCAGGCTCTCGGAGTAACGATCAAAGCCACATAGTAATGTATGGAATGCAACTTTAGTCTTGGAGTCACTCTAAAAGTATAAAGAATTCAAATTATTGAAGTTTTTCTTCTTTAAAAACTCTGCATGGATAAACTCCACTGTAACTGTTTTGTTTAGTAAGTGAAATCCACATGGTGGCGCTAGAAACCATGTCACTAACCTCGAGCACGGCTCTGCAGATACAACTCAATGAAAAGGAAAATGGAACAAACTGTTGAATGTGAACATGTCTGTATAATGAAACTGAAATAAAAACTAAGTTACATTTTTTTTTTTTTTTTTAAATACCAATTTTGTCAATGCAAATGATCCATTAACAAAATTTGCCCCAAAACAGGATTTTTATGTACCTTCTTTGGCATTTTATTTTGGTACTTTAAAATTTGACATAAAAAAATAAGCTAATATAGTAAATCACTTTTATCTTAACAGCAATTTTTATCTAAAAACATGTGAAAATAAAAAAAATGTTCCCACACTACTGACCTCGTGCACGCAGCTGAAGAGCTCCCAGTCGAACACCACCAGCTGGTTGGAGACCTCCTCGGCTGACATGTCGTGGAGTTTGCTGTCCCCAGGCGTCCAGTGGATCTCCTCCGGGAGAGGGAGCTGAGGGGGCAGCAAAACACAACATACCTTTATCTTTAAAGTATTATCATTTACCACTGTGGATAAAAAAAGTATTTAGACACAAAAGGCATTCAAAAAACTAAAACTATTTAAAACAAATGTAAGTGATAGCTGGTGGCTGTATTTGCTAAATAGACCAATGTGTTCCTCACCAGTGACTCAAGCTCGGAGGGTTCGCAGGTGAACAGGTGAGTGTTGACTCCCAGCGTGGTGAACACGGCCTCGTCACTGGGACGAAACACTGCCTTCTCTGAAACACACAACACACATGGAAATATATACAGAAACAATTAAGAGAGCACTGCAAACATTTCCATTACTGAGGTTTTACTACAAATAGTATGTGGGTAAGCTTATTATACACTTATTATTATTGAGAGTATCGTTGTCTTGGGAAATGCGTGTGATGAAAATAGTTTTTTTCCAATGTTTTACCTGATAAATCGCCAGGTGAACGAGCTAGCATTAGCTGTTAGCAGCACAATCCTGCTTAGCAAAACGACGTAGCTCACAGCTAACGTTAACAAAGGTTGTATTTCCTTACATTATGTCACATTGCAGCTCTATTCAGTAAGTGTAGTATTGGGCGTAGGTAATTATAACAATATCATGATGTGTTCAAATGTTATCAGTTGTTTGAATATTAGAAATATTAGAAAGGGGTTTATGACTTCCTAACAAAAACTAGTAAGCAAACTATAAAGAAGGAGTGTATGTTGAAGCAAAAATCATTATTGTTTTTTTACCAGGGTTTCCAATTGGTATTGATCATCATGGAATTTCACAGCAGTGTTTCCCCTAGGATGGAGTCATAGCAGCGGTGCTAAGGCACGCGGGCCCAGCAAAATGTGAGCGCGGAGCGCATGGAATCTTTTTGTGAGTGCGTGCGAAGTGCGCCCCGCCAATATGTTTATATGTGTCTGCCAGCACAAGAAAGGCTCTTGAGGCCTAGTACATACAGTGGCAATGTCTCAAGATTTAGCAAAATACACCTTTATTGAACATACAGTAACACAAATACTACAAATATAATAATATATTATTATATATAATAGGTGGTATCGCTAGAGGGCGCCACTTATTATTATTTTAATTTAAAAAAATGTTTTAGCTTCGCCGCCGCTATTTGTATATGGGAAGCACTGCACAGGGATTGGTATCAACTTAATTTCCGGACATTCCTTCACCAGACACCAGAAACGTAATGTAACATCAAATAAATGTTCAGAGTTTGCGCCTGCTGACCTCCAGCCGACGTCACGGCCACCAGGATGAGGTTTCCGGGCAGAACCGGCTGATCTTCGCTGTACTGGAGCTTCTCTCGGACCAGAGCCAGAATCTCTCCGACCCGACAGGACAGGCGGCTCCTGATGGTGACGTAGGAATGATCTGGAGTGTACACCCTGCAGAAGACTGGACGCACAGATATAGAGATATTAGACCGCTAACTAGTGACCTATTATGTGTAGTGCATCTTAACAGAACAGAAGCATGAGTGTGTGTGTGCGTGTGCGTGTGCGTGTGCGTGTGTGTGTGTGTGTGTGTGTGTGTGCGTGTGTGTGTGTTTGTGTGTGTGTTTGTGTGTGTGTCGTACTCTCGTCGGAGCCCCTGAAGGCCTCTCTGGGCTGCAGACAGGCGTCGATGCGTCTGAAGTGTCTGAAGAGAGGACGGACCTGCTTCTTCCTGATCTCCTTCTCCTCATCAGACCTATATTACATATAATAAACACATTATTACATGATTAATGTGTAATACATATGTGATAAATACATATAATAAAAACATTATATATATATATCATAATAATTACTGTATGATAATTATTATAAATATATAACAAATAAACACAGTGAATATGAAATAAATACAGGACAAAAAAATCGATCAAAAGTTGATTAATTTATAATAAAAATGTGATACATTGGATATTTTTAATTTTTTTAATACACATCCAGTAGCGTGGCGTGGGAAAAAAATTAGGGGAAGCCAATAATACGTCCTTTCTTTTGGGTCGGGGGTGTGGTGGTCAATGTAATAATGTAACCAGATGAGTGATTACAGCACCCGGTATCATTTTACACACATTTGTATCATACAGATGCAGGACTTACACACGCCTGTTATCCTACCCAGTGGTTCCCAACCTTTTTTCCCAAGAGCCCCCCCAAATGACTCCTGTTGGAAGTTGCTCCTCTCGCAACAGAGAGTGCAATCTACTGTTTCACCATAACATCTAGAGGGGCGCTGTTTCACTCTTTGTAAAATACTCAATGAGAATGGGGGAGAGACGGACCGGCAGCAACACACAGCAAAGAATTTACGAAACTAAACGAAGTGTTTTTATTTATTTATTCAAATTATAACTACAATCAAAAAAAACAGGGGAAGCCTGGCTTCCCTTGGCCTCCAGGAGAAAACGCCACTGTACACATCATATCATGTTGGAGATTGTGTGTTTCATTGTGAGTGTATTAGTGCAGTGGTTCTCAAACTTTGTTCAATCATGTACCCCCTTTGAAAAAAATATTCAGCCAAGTACCCCCTGATCAGCGCAAAAACAATTTGTTGGGAAAAAATGCCTATATAAAGTACAGTACAGCGCTGCACCATCAGTGTCTGATTTATTAAAACAACAACCTTGTAACTGAGAAACACTTAAATGCTACATTTCAAATGTTTACAATCCATGGCAAACCAATTTTAACATCATGCAATAACACTAAGACGACATTAGTTGCATTGAACTGATCTTTTAAATAAGTTGTACTTACAATGTAGTGAGAAACATGGGCTTGTGCTTCACTGAGGATCTTTGTCATTCTGACAGGGAGGCCACTGCAGTTATTACACTTTGCGTTTTGAAATATGTGTGTTCATATAAAACCCACACTGCTCAAACTTCGTTACTTTTCCGAAAATTGGTATATTTATTTATTAATTTTGGGGCGTGGGGAATGAAGAGAAAAAAATATATGAGCATTTTATGAGCATGGGATTTTGACCCCTCATATAAACATATGCATAATGCTGCGCTATACTTTGCGTCCACACGCCGTTGCCAAGCAACGCTTATTGTTTAGGTCCTTTTGATAAGCAGGCAGTCATATCATTAACTAGAACTAGCTAGATCTGATAGATTTGGACAAAAACGCGAGTGAAGTATGCGAGAGAGAGAGATCAGAGATCAGATCAGCTGCTGCTGACGGAGAACACGCAGCTCTACCGGATCACAGCTCCGCCGCTGTGACGCACCGTTGAGTGGAGCAAAATACACTAAGAGTTAGACCTAACACACTTAGCTTGTTTATCTACTCTGGAACTAGCTAAACTAGTTATACATATATTTATTCTTTACTGTCGGGTCACTTATTACAGGTTCAGCGAGCTGCACGAGACTGACGGGCTGTCAGGAGAGGGAGAGGAAAAGAGAGCACCCCGTTTATTGTTCCCATTTTATTATCCAGAGTTTCTGTAAACCTTTGAATAAAGTAGTTCATCTACTATTAGCAGTTTGTTTAAATGCATTACTTATGTTTTCTTTTTTTCATTAACATAAAATAAATCTCACGTACCCCCTGCAGTACTCCAACGTACCCCTAGGGGTCCACGTACCCTCATTTGAGAACCACTGTATTAGTGTGTATAACTATGTCTATAATTGTGTTTATTATTATGAGCGTGTTATGTTACGTGTGGTTGTGAGTGTTTGTATGTATTACTGTGTGTATCCTTGTGAGATAACCTGTGTGTATTTCTGTGTGTATTACTGTGGGTGTCAGTTTGTGTATTATTGTTTAAATTGTTGTTACTGGGAGTATTTTTCCGAGTGTCTATATGTGGTTTACTGTGTGTTTTGTTTGTCCTGTGGCCGGTTGGGCAAGTCACTAGCACCCCTCCCCCCCCGAGTTGGGCCGGTTGGCCGGTAGAGTTTCCCGGGCTGATTTTTAGTCTCAGTCCGCCCCTGCCTATGACTATTTGTATGACAGTGAGTGTGTTTCACTGTGAGTGTCGTTGTGGTGTTCTCTGTGTGTATGACTGTGTGTAGAGTGTGTGTCTTACGGGCAGTGTAATATCTCGGTCCATCTCTGCAGTTTGAGGACGTCATCCACCAGCTCAGGATTCCGACTCAGCTCCTGAACCGCACACATGTATAGCTCCTATAATCACACAAACACGCAGAAATGTCACATACTATATACCTTGAACAGTTTGTAATGTATTATGCAGTATGTTGAGGAGATTACAGCCGAAATGTTTCTCATGTAGGTTGAAAATCAAGTTACAATCTTATTGTCTCACGAAAAATGACCAACGGTAACGTCTTTATCCGTAAACATATTGTAAATATAGCATTAACTGGGCTTTCACCAACATATTGTAAATAAGCAGGTAAATAGAGAAAAACATAGAGATGAAATACTAAGAAAACACTTTTACCACAGCTGTTTTTTTTCTTAAAACACAACTAATAAGTATTTAACAATAAATGACATCCATAATATAAATGTGTGAAGGGTTTATTAGATTTACTTAAGAAACTAGGGACTGCTTTCTATGATTTTAACAAATAAAAAGAACTCAACTAAATATCAATAAATAACCATAAGTTTACTTGTTGTTATACATTTTTACGGAGCCCCTAAAGGTTCATGGAGAGAAAAAAAAAGTATCTTGTGCACACGATATACTTTCTCGTTCGCTCGAAATACTATTTCGTGCGCACGAGAAAGTATTTTGTTAGTTTCTCGTTCGCACGAGAAAGTTACCGGTGCGCCAAGTAGGAAGTGGAGCACAGAGGAGACAACCGTTTCATTGCAGACTGTTATGTTTGTGTGGAGAAATGGCAGTGCATACGTTATTTGAGATATATTTCAAACTCAGAATTAATTTAGGGACATTTTGGCCAGGGGTTTAGTATGTTTAATATGGAATATAAAGTAGAATGAAACAATGGGTAAATCGATTTTTGGGAAATAAAAAGTTTTTAAAAATGTGGAGCGCATAAGAAAATGAAGGAGATATAAGGAGGTCTGACCTTTGGGAAGCTGTTGTTGCGCTCCTCCTGCAGCAGCTCTCTGTAGGTGTCCAGATATCGGAAGGTGACGCTCAGCACCGCCTGCTTCCTCTCCGCTCTGTCCATCCCCCCCTCACCCTCTCCATCTTTCCTCTCCCCCTCCCTCCCTCCCCTCTGGCCCTGCTTCCCCTCCAGGTTGAATCTGAGGGAGTCAAGTTAAGGTGGAAACACGAGGGGTTGGAGTGTCATTTTGCACAGGCTTAAAGTGAGTAGGGAAACATTAAACAAAGGCTAAATGGCAGATAATTACAAAATAAGTTTGAAAAGTAATAAATAATAATATATCAATTAATGAATTCAAACGACAGAGAAATGTCATGTGTAAATAAAATATATTTAAAATCCTGATATGGTAAACAAAAAGAGCTTAATTTTAAATTCTCAAGTAAAAGCTTACATTTAAATGTGTGATTGGAAAAGGAAAATAAAAACATGTGTAAAATGAAGGCGATATAAATAAATCAATAAAGTTTTTGCCTTAAATTGACTGTGTTTACAGCTGTTATTTGTGTACAATAATATTAAGATAAGGCTTCACAAATATTAGAAGTTTTAACTAATAGTACCTTAGGATAAAGCTTATATTATTATCACTCTTTAGGAACATAAGGATAGAGCTTACATTAATAGTATAATATTATTCGTATAATTATTTAAAGAAAAATAATAATTCATTTTCTCCACAAAAGGGAGGCCCACAATGACAAGTTATATTATATAAAAACATTTGATGGATACAAAATAAAAATAAATCATATAATCAGATGCATTTATTATCATTATTTATATTAACATTTTAAAGGATTTGTTAGATGATTTTGTATTCATTTTAGGGAGAAAAAGCCATTAAATATGACGCCAGACAAGCTGTGAATGTATGACCCGCATATCAACACACACACACACACACACACACACACACACACACACACACACACACACACACACACACACACACACACACACACACACACACACACACACACACACACACACACACACACACACACACACACACACACACACACACCACACACACACACACACACACACACACACCACACACCACACACACACACACACACACACTACACACACACACACACACACACACACACACAGTATAAATCACTTCAGGGGATATTAGATTGACTTACATGCATTTCCTGGAGACTTATCCTAACCTTAACCATAACCAACACATGCCTAACCCTAACCAAGTCTTCACCCTAAAATTAATGATTCCCCTCATGGGGACCTCCAATTTGTCCCCATAAGGGAGGCCAGTCCCCACACGTGACTGTGTAAACAGATTTAGGTGCCCACAAGTATAGTAATGCTATGCCACACACACATACGTCCCTGAACGTTCCATCTCTAGTATTCTATTTGTCACAGAAACGAAAGACGTTTTTTTCTGGTTTGTTTTTCTTTGGAAGAAATAAAAACCCCAGCGAGTGTTTGTCTTGGTCCATCCCTCCCACTCTTCTTCCTCCCACACACCTCTCTGCTCCACGTCCTGCACCCCCCCCCCCCCTCTTTGTGTGGGTGAGTATGCAAGTGTCACTTCATCCTGCTTCATGGACTCCTCTCTCCGCACTGAAGGCGCTCTTTAATTCACCGTTTCTAATATCTCCTGTCATTGTAACATCTCCACAGACCAGACTGTTTTAGATCAGCCTGTATTCACACCACTGGTGTAATGTAACTAAGTACATTTACTCAAGTACTGTACTTAGGTAAAAAAATGGAGGTACTTGTACTTTACTTTCACATTATGCTACTTCATACTTTTACTTTGCTACATTTTGTTGGCAAATGTTGTACTTTTTACTCCACTACGTTTATTTTTGATATTTAGTTACTAGTTACTTTGCAGATTTAGGTGGATACAAAATATAAATCGACACTTAATTAATGCACCAAAAATAATTAATAAAATAAAGTTAAGGTGTTTTGATGTGCCTTTCTGCATAACAAGTACTTTTTTTAATGCTTATACTTTTGCACTTTTACTTAAGAAAACGTTTGAATGCAGAACTTTTACGTGTAACTGAGTATTTTTACACTGTAGTATTGCTACTTTTACTTATCTGAGTACTTCTTCCACCTCAAGTTTTAGTTGACTAAAGGCTTTCATCTTTATTTTAGTCAAAAAAACTGTAACTATTCTATTCTAGTCTAAAGTAGGGATAGGTATGTCAAATACTTTTCGGTCAGTATAAACTTCCTTCATTTTCTTTCACTAATTTCAAAAGTAATGATTTAAAAATAATAATAATTGTGTTTGTACAAGGTTAAAACATGAATAATATAAACTTCTACGTCAAGTAAAAGTTAAAGGAAAAAGGAAATTACAAAATCTCTATCTCTCTATAAATTGGGGAAGTAATGATATTATTTGTTTAAAATGTATATTATTTTGTATAACATACTTCTGTTCTAGTTAACAAAGCTATATCATTTTTTATTTTGTGTTTTTCGCTAGATACACTCTTTACACTGTTTAATGAGTTTCTTGTCTGTACAGATTAAGGACTGAGCTGCTGACAGTGTGAGCCTGCAGGCAGCGAGCAGGGCCGCCAAAACACAAAGACTGAGGCTAACCAAACTGTGTTTCAAATAAAAGCTTACATTAAACCAGAATAAACAGTGGTTGTGAGCAGAATGCAGCAGCATGCGTATTTACACGTCCATTACGTGCCATGCAGGCACAAAGGAAGGTATGTGTGTGTGAGGGTGTGTGTGTGAAGGATACTGCTGCAGCAGGACTTGCTGGAACCTGTCGGCCGCCATGAAGATGGGATGTGTCAACATGAAGTCATCCAGCAAGGTTTCTGCAGACAGACAATCAGAGAGGTTAGATTTACAGACTGTACCTGAACACCACGCAGAACATATTGTCATCGATCCAAAAAGAAAGCAGACACACAAAGACACGATAAACCTGAGCCTTTGAAAGAACTGAAATCATGAAGAGACTTGTCATGCAAAGAAGTCAGAGAAAAGCAGATCATCTCTCTATTGGCTGAAAAACATTTTCTGTTTCATATCTTAATGAAGTGAATATCTCATCTTTGAGAAAATGATATGGAAATCTTTAACTATGTTTTTATATTTAAACATCAAAACAATAATCCGAAATTGAAAAAGCCTTCAGTTGCAGCCCAAAAACAAACCAAACTCCAACCAAACTCTGAACAGTAAAAATTACCTATGATATCAAATGTATTTTCTAAACTGCCAAAGATATATTTCTGCTGGAGTGTTTTTTTGTAATAATGTGTTGTTTTAACATATTTAAAACTGCTCTAAATGTCTTTTATTTGTTTGTAAAGCACTTATGTTGAAAGGTGCTATGTAATTAAACTTACCTTGCCTTTAGATGCTTTTCAGCCTCTCAGAAATGAATACTTTTATCTGTTTTATGTCATATTAATGTGAATGTATCAGACGTATAAAGACATCATTTTAAAATGTATAACTATAGAAATAATCAGCAGAGTAGTCAAAAGTGGGAACATTGGTTATTTGAAGCCCTGAAACTCCAATGTAATACATGTAATTGAAGAAAATTAGGCTTTTAATTTCCTCTAGTAAAAAACTCAACAAAACAGAAAGTAAAATACCAAACTGCTTTAAAGAGGCATACACATACATTTAAAAGGCAACATACAGGCAAATTAAACACACACACACACACACACACACACACAAAACATGCACACTAAATGTAGGCCATGTTTTTTCTGATGTGCAGAACCAGAACTGTTTCTATATTTAAAGAATCTGCAGATCTGTCTGAATGCTGCAGAACGATCGCATTCACTAAAATACACTGTGTGTGTGTGTGTGTGTGTGTGTGTGTGTGTGTGTGTGTGTGTGTGTGTGTGTGTGCGTGTGCGTGTGTGTGTGTGCGTGTGTGTGTGGGATGCATGCTGCAGTGGGCGTGTCGGGGTCCGCCTCTCTGCAGGCAGTTACCATAGAGACAACAGACAATGAGTGGAATGAAAGTGCCCTTTTTACCATTTCATATTTCTTTTTATTATAATTCCCATTTTCTATATTATTTATGTATTGTTTGTCTTTATGGAGTCTTCAACGAAAAAGGCTGCAACTAACCATTCTTTTTTGATACGGACTGATTGACAGAATAATGTTTGGTGTATAAAATATCAGAAAATAGTGAAACATGTCCTGATTTTCTCTGCTGTACGGGCAGATTGAAGACGAAAGAGCAACATGAAGCCAAAGCTGCTGACAGTGAGCCTGCAGGCAAAAAGCAGGGCAGCGAAAACACAAAGACTGAAACTAACCAAACTGTTCTTTAGATCAAATCGAGAGTTACATTTAATGATATGAAACTATGATGAGCAGCCTGCAGCACACGGAACCTGAAAGCCGTCTTCAAATGTCTGGCTTTGTCAATCAAGACTAACAGATAATCACTTTATTATTATATAAACAGAGAAAGGCAGAACATCTCCATATTTGAAAGACTGAACAGCCTTTTTTTACTTTTCTGCATTAAACATTACATTTAGGGGAAATCAATATTGGGAATACTTAGAAATTGTTGATTGTAGCAGATTGTTGATAACTGCCAACCAAGTTTAGCACAACGACTGATATTTAGTATTTGTTGTATTTAATTTTACTGTACTCAGTTTCTTACATAATTATATTTTGTGTAAATATTGTCTTTCTTTTTTATTTATTAAACTCGTCTTTAAAACACTTTAAAATAGTGCTATGTTTTGCTTTTTTTGTAACAATGTATTCCTCTTTCTGTGTCTTTGTATCAGAGACGTGCACAGGTACGGGCTAATGTTGCCCGGGCAACGGCCCTTTTGCAATTTTTGGCTGACCTGCCCCTCTGGAGAGAGTGAGAGGTTTATGTTTTTTCTGTTGTGGCCGAATAAACATGATAAGCCCACAATTAGTATTGTAGCGTCTCGCTGCCGGAAACACAGCTTGTCAGCGCTGTCATCTGCCCCCAGTCACGTGACTTTGTTTACAATCTGACAGCTGAAAGCAAAGGAAAGCCCTCCGGCCTCATATGGCTATGGTGATCATACCAAATGGGGGGGGGGGGGGGGGGGGCAGGGGCAGGGGCAGGGCCCTTTTTCTAGTTTAGAGCAATAGCCCCTCCAAATGTCTGTGCACGTCCCTGCTTTGTATGCACCATTTACTCAAAAGCAACTTCCTTGTATGTGTAAACGATTCTGATTCATAGCATGCTGATATAGCTACATCAAAAGATAAACATATTCCCCTTGAAACTAATCAAACTCTTAAGAATATATATATGTGTATATATAGATATATATATATATATGTATTTAGATATACCCTATATATACACCCTTATGTCCGGCAGTGGCTCAGTCAGTAGGGGCTTGGACTGTGAGCCGTAGGGTCGCTGGTTCAAGTCCCCGGCCAGACCTACAATATGGAGCGTGGACTGCTACTTGGAGAGGTCCCAGTTCACCTCCTGCCCTGCCGTGGTGCCCTTGAGCAAGGCACTGGACACCCCCCCACCGCTGTACAATAGCTGCTCCTAGTACTACACTCCTGGTACTCGGATGGGTTAAAAGCAGAGGCCAAATGTCACTGTGTGCTCTGCATGTGTGACCATTAAAGAGGGTGTCATCCCTCCATATTCTATTCATATTGATTATCCTAATTATTACATACAGTGGAGGAAATAAGTATTTGATCCCCTGCAGATTTAAGTTTGCCCACTTACAAAGAAATTAAAAGTCTATATTTTTGATGGTAGGTTTATTTCAACAGTGAGAGAAAGAATATAAAAATAAAAAATCCAGAAATTGACATCATATAAAAGATACAAATTGATTTGCATTAAACTGTGAGGAATAACTATTTGACCCCCTTTCAAAACCTGTGTTAGTACTCGGTGGAGAAACCCTTGTTGGACAGACAGAGGTCAGACGCTTCTTGCAGGGGATCAAATACTTATTTCCTCCACTGTATATGTTGATTAAATATGCATCTGACCCAATCAAATAAAAGCTGTAGATCCTTTGTTTTTCCACAACAAGATAACTGTTGTATTTTATTGTATTATTAAGTTAAAAATTGTAAACGTATCGCAACTTCTCCTTATTTTAAATTCCTTCTGCCACTGACTGTCATTTTTTTCCATTTTCTCACAGAACTGTTTTTTTTCATTAAAAAAATATTAATTAAAAAATGAAGGATCCTACATTTAAAGAGCGTTTGTGCCTCATAATTCTAACTTAAAGATACATATTTTTCAATATGTGTTATATTTTACATGAAATAAAACAGCATTAGCAATTTTTTCTTTTTTATTGAGTATTATTTTAAATATATATTTTTGTACCTTAAAGCATACAACAGCATAACAGCATTAGCAGTTATTTATATTATAATTACATTTTAATCGTAATATATATCTTTATGTTTTCAATTATTCACTGAACTTCTGGCAGGCCTAATTAAACCTTATAGCGTGCTTTACAGGACACTCCACATTTTGATATGACACTTTCAGAATGCAAAGCCACATCAGATTATGCTATTATTATTAATGTCACATTAAAACTACTATCTCATTCAATTCAAGGTCACTTGTTTGAAAGCACACTTTCATTCAAATCTCACATCAGTAATATCACTCGGTCTGCCTATTTCCATCTACGCAACATCAACCGCCTCCGGCCGTCCCTTAACCCTAAGAGCACCGCCATTCTTGTTCACACCCTGGTCACTTCCCGCATCGACTACTGCAACTCCCTTCTCTTTGGTCTCCCTCTCAAATCCATCCACAGACTTCAACTGGTTCAGAACTCTGCCGCCCGCATCATCACCAGAACCCCCTCCATTAACCACATCACTCCTGTTCTTCAGCAACTTCACTGGCTCCCCGTCAAATCCCGTATCGTTTTTAAGATTCTGCTCCTCGCCTTTAAGGCCATCCATAACCTCACTCCTCTGTACCTCTCCGACCTCCTGCACATCAACACACCCATCCGCACACTCAGGTCTTCTGCTTCCCTCAGCCTCACTGCACCCCCCTTCCGTTTAACCACCATGGGGTCTAGAGCCTTCAGCCGCTCTGCACCCCGCCTCTGGAACTCCCTCCCACCTGACATCCGCAACACTGACTCTCTCCCCAATTTCAAATCACGCCTCAAAACATATCTCTTCACACTCGCACATCCACCCTGATCATTATCCATCACACATCCTCTGTTTTTATTTATTTGTTATTTGATTGATTGATATACTGCATTGTCTTGTTTATGTTTCTTATGCTGGGGTTATCTATTGTGTATCTTGTTTTTTATGTGTCTGTACGGCGACCTTGAGAGCCTTGAAAGGCGCCTATATAAAATAAATGAATTATTATTAAGTTAAGATTCAAACTCTGTTCAACCCAGAAATAATTCATTAATATCAGTTCATTAAAAATAACGTATGGGAAACACGCACATATTAATGAATTTGCAGTCAAATCCATGTGAGGCTGCAAGAGAGAGAGAGATGGTGTGAACGTGGGAGGAACAGGAGAGAGAGTGAATCCTGATGGGATGTAAACGCCTACACGCTCGGAGAGGTTGTTCTGCAGTTATAGAAAGTATTCACACACTATACTTTTGTAGAAGTTCCAACTCAGCAATGTTAAATACTCCAGTACAAGCAAATGTCTGAGGACACATCCTACTCACAGTATATTACATTATCAAATCTGCAGTAATTGCTCTGTAATCTCAGTTGCTAATTGGTTTGAAATGTTATCTCATCACATTTAATTATTGTCTTATTTGATTTGCCCCACATGAGACTG